CCTGGAACTCAGAGACCCGCCTGCCTCTGCCTCCCAGGTGCTGGGATTAAAGGTGTGTGCCATCACCACCCGTATATTTTTTTAATATATTTTTAAAGATTTATTTGATGTGTGTCTTTGTCCATGTGTAAGTGCACGCGTGGGTGCATGCCCATGAGGCCGGAAGAGGGTGTCAGATCTCCAGCAACTAATGGTTGTGAGTCACCATGGGGGTGCCTGGAGCCAAACCTGAGTCCTCTGCAAGAAGAGCAAGTGGCCTTAACTGCTGAGCCATCTCACTGGCTTCCGTTTTGTTTTTAATCATCCATAGGTGTGTGTCTGGGGGTGGGGGGAGTGAGTTTGTCCATGCGAATGCAGATGCACTTGCAAGAGGCCCCTGCCGGCCAGCAAAGGACTTCTGATCCCCTGTGGCTGGAGTTACAGGTAGTCTGAGTACACAATGTGTATGCTGGGAATTTAATTTGGATCCTCGGCAAGAGTAGTGTACGTTCTTAACCTCTGAACTGTCTCCCTAGCTCTCCAACAACAAAACAAAAACCCCACTCAGAATTACATTTCACTTTATTTATTGTGAGGGGAGGCAAACAGGCACCTGCCATTTGTCCCAGGGTAGAGAAGCATGAACTTGGGACCTCCTGTGCAATTCTGTGACTCTGACTGGAGCTTACAGACCCAGCCTTGGACGCCAGGTATTTAAAACCAACCTCCTGGACCCTGAGAGGTGGCTCAGCAGGTAAAGCCACTTTGCTACCAAGACGTGAGGACCCACGTGATGGAAGTGAATCGGCTCCAGCACGCGATCCACTAACCTCCACAAGTGTGCCACAGCGCAGGTACACATGCACACACGCAAATAACAGTAGCTGAAGGGACACTAGCCCACTGGAGCACGTGGCTCTGGCAGGCCTTGCCCTTCTCCCCCACTCCCTCTGCCCTGCTGAAGACCATTAGACTACATTCCTAAAGCTAGTCCCCAAGGTCTGTTCCTTATTTGGCCACTTCCTCCTCCTGGGGCTGACTACCAAGGTCCAGCGATCAGAAGCCCCCTTTGGCTCACCTAATTAACATGCCTAAATAAAATGAAACACGTCATCCTGACACAGTGTGGTGCTTTGAAAGAAAATGGCCCCCGAAGGGAGCGGCAGTGTTAGGAGAGGGGGCCTTGTTGGAGAAGGTGTGGCCTTGTTGGAGTAGGTGTGGCCTTATTGGAGGAAGTGTGTCACTGAGGAGGCGGACTTTGAAGTCTCATATGTGCTCAAGCCATGTCCAGTGTCTCAGCCCACTTCCTGTTGCCTGCAAGTCAAGATGTGGGACTCTCAGCCCCTTCTCCAGCACCACGTCTGCCTGCACGCCACCATGTCACACCATGATGATAACGAACTAAACCTCTGAAAATGCAAGCCACCCAATTAAATATTTTTTCCTTTATAAGAGTTCCCATGGTCATGGTGTCTCTTCACAGCAATGGAAACCCTAAGATACACGGGGATTTCACCTTTTATCTTTATAAACTGCCACCTTCCTGCGGGCCACACCTGTCTCCTCTCTGTCCTGAGGGGGTCCTTTGTCACCCTTTGGGACAACTACCTCTGCCCTGTTCCCTTGCCGCCTGCCCTCTCTCCCTCTCCCTCCGGGGTTTGTCTCTAATCCCCGCCCTTTGTCTCCTCTGTTCCGAGAATGTGGCCATGGGGCTCCTGAGCATTGATTCCCATCTCTTTCAATAGCAAAATGTAATTTAAAAAGTTTAAAGTCAACCTCCCTGGGCCCATTGGCAAGAGATGAAACCTCCCCGCTCCGGGCTGTGCCGTACCTCACATCCACGTCCGGGTTACAGTAGTGGCAGTAACACTGGAGGAGACAACAGTGATGAGTGAACACACAGAGAGAGACAAAATTCAAAACGAAACAAACAATCAACCAACCAGCTTCCTCCGTCCCAGCTCGCCCCGCCCTCCCTCCCGCGGTACTGCTGATGATCGGTCCCCTCCCTGCATCCCGAGCTGTGCCGCATCTTCCAGCGGGTTCACTCTCCACACCTCCTGTCCCCGCCCCGCCCAGTGTTTCTAATGCCGACAGTGATGACCTTTGGACCTGGGTGGGACAGGAAGGTCGAGAGCTGTCCCTGGCTTCTCACTAAATTCCATCCTTCAGGGGTGGCAGGAAAATACAATAATAAGACGTCTCCAGATGCTGTTCAAAATCCTCTGGAAGACCAAGTCACCTCTGTGAGAGCCTGGGCTCCCCGTCAACTCCTGGGTCTCCCCGTTTCCCTCAGCCCTCTTCCTGGTAAGAGTATAGCCCAGCGGTTCTCAGCCTGTGGATTGCAACCCCAGACCCTTTCATGGGGCTCTCCTGAGATCATCAGAAAACACAGAGATTTACATTACAATTCATAACGGTAGCAAAACGGCAGTTACGAAGTAGCAACAAAAACGATTTTATGGTTGGCTGGGGGGGGGGGTCACCACAACGTGAGGAACCGTATTAAAGGGCCACAGCATTGGGAAGGTGGAGAACCGCTGCTCCAGCAGACCTGGTGGGATCTTCCTTGTGTTCACTACCACCACGGCCCCTGTCCCGACCACGGAGACCATCTCCGTCTCTCTGCCTCCCCTGTGTCCTGCTCCAAATTCCCTTCACACTCAGTGCCCAGAGGCTTCATTTCACAGTTCTGATGGGCCGGGGTGAGGGGGAGTGGAGGGGTTGGGGGGCGGGTGGTTCAGCTGGCAGAGTGCTCGCCTAGCATGCATGAAGCCCTGGGTTGATCCCAAGCATCCGCTAAACTACTTATGACAGTCCATGCCCAAAATGTCAGCATTTTGGAGGACCAAGAGCACAAGGTCATCCTGGCCTGCATTCGAGACCCCGTTTCAAAAAACAAACACGAGTCAGCGGGAAGACTCGGCAGGCAGAAATGCGTGTGGGTGTCTTATCCATCAGCGTCTTCAGAAAACAGCAAAACACTTGGCCCTGAAAAATCTACTGAATCTGGGACAACAACCCAGCCACAAAACCATCAATCAAGCCACGATCTACCCTGCCTGCAAGATGTGCTGGGACCACGGCTGCGCACAACTTGTGGGAGTGGCCAAATAATGACCGGTCCCACTTGAGGCCCACACCAGGAGAGGGCGCCTATGCCCCACACTGCCTAGACAGCCAGGAACCAGGGGCTGGAGAGCCCAGAGACCTAGCATAAAATCAAACGCGACTAGCAAAAAAAAAAAAAAAAAAAAAAAAAAGGCCATGGAATGATGTCGAATGATAATCTGCTATACTCATAGATCGGCGCTAGCCCAACTGTCATCAGAGAGGCTTCCTCCAGCAACTGATGGGAGCAGATGCAGAGACCCACAGCCAAGCACTAGGTGGAGCGCAGGGAACCCTACAGAAAAGGAAGAGGAAGGATTGTAGGAGGCAGAGCGGTCGAGGACACCAGGAGAACACGGCCCACAGAATTAACTAAGAGGAGCTCACGGGGACTGAGGCAGCAGCCACGGACCCTGCGTGGGGCTGCACTAGGTCCTCTGCACATACATTGTGGTTGTGCAGCTTGGTGTTGTTGCGGGACTCCTAACAGCAGGAGTGGGGGGGTGTTTCTCTTTCAGCTGCTTTTTTTCTCTTTCAGCCTAGTACTGGGTGGCCTTGTCCAGCCTTGATATGACTTAGCCATGATACGCCATGTTGGACTGGTATTCCTGGGAGGCTTGCTCTTTTCTGAAGGGGAATGGGGGAGTGGAGGGAGGGGAATCTGTGGTCGGGATGTAATATATGAGAGAATAATAATTAAAAATAAAAGAATCTTCCGAGAGAGAGAGAGAGAGAGAGAGAGAGAGAGAGAGAGAGAGAGAGAGAGAGAGAGAGAGACCACAGTTGGCATTTCACAGGAAACAGCGCTCTTAGTGGCATGGGTCTTGTCCAAGCTAGGGAGGTGGTTCCGTGAGAAAAGCAGCTTGTGGCCACGCCCGACAATCAGAGTTCAGTCTGAGACTGGATGTAGCAATGATACCGGCAAACTGCAGTAGTAAACCTGACGCTAGCTAGAAAGGATTTACTCACAGACCTGCTTAGGACACACCAAGTCACACGAAGCAGGACTTACCTGATGGAGTATTGCCTCCGATGTGGCTAGGAGATGAAGTGGTGTGCTCACCGGGCTGGGACAGAATGAAAATCCTGTACCACAATTAACATTTATGGTCCTTGAGAAAGTTTCTGCTGGTGTTTATTCACCAGGATTGACCTCCAATTAGGCTCCATTCCCATAACAAAAGGAGGCAGCCCAGACTTACAAGCAGTCCCCACATCAAAGACTATGCCTCTTCAGGCAGCTCAAGGGGGCAGTGTGGGGTCACAACCAACCATCAGTAAGTCCTAGCCTGCCATTAAATCCCTGGTGCTCTTATCACTAAAAACGTAATTCTGCCAGGTGGGCAAGATGCCCCTGGATAACAACTCTTCGAAGCAACCAATACTGATAGACTTAAATAATTCTGGCAACAGAATCTTAGCTGTGTGAATCTCCCACCTGCCCAAGTGGCCAGACTTGCAGTCTCCTGGCTGTTTAGACTGTTCAAAGTGTAAACTGGGGCCGGCACAATGTAAAGTGCAGGTGCCTAAGGTATACCTAAGTTAGTAAAATCGTGTCTTCATGGCTGGCAACGCTTTGGGTGTTAGCTGGAGCCAGTCCATTTGCAAGTGTGCAATTGCCCAAACTTGCAATTATCCAAATTTTCCTTTATCAGTCTCTAAGTGTGCAGAGTGATCTCTCTCTGGGAAGGCATTTTAATTCTAGAGGAAGAAGAGGAGGAATCTAGGCACATGGATTTCTCCAGAGACCCTGAAGAAGTTGGATATACAGTACAGAACAGAGGTAACCAAGCCATGTGGCAGAATGTAGATTAATAGAGATAGGTTAATTTAAGTTATAAGAGCTAGTTGGGGAAAAAAACCTATGCTAAGGCCAAGCTTTCATAATTGATATTAAGTCTCCCTGTCATTACTGGGGAGCTGGCCGTCCCACAGAAGACAGTCCGACAAGAAAGTCTGCTTCGCTGTGTAGACGCCCTTCTCCCGTGGTGGCTCCTCCTTCTCTCCCTTTCTAATCTGTCCCTCTCTTCCCCTTCCTCCCTCCTTAGACAGAAAGGCACGGCCTCCTTACCCAGTCTCCTTTATTGTAGGACACGAAGAAGAAGGTCATCACCATGTAGGCACACCTCAAAAAGCTCCATCCGCCATGCCTCACAAGTGCCTTGGCTGTGGTGGTGGCTGGGGGGGACTTCACTAAAGTAAAAATGGTGAGAATGATTGACAAGACCCAGAAATCAATCCCTGACCCGCGGGCGCTCCAAACTTGTGTCTCTATGTATCTCCTGAGTTGATTTTTTTTTTTTTAACGTTCAGTGTTGTGGCCATTGTCTCCCATCTTGGTCATCACTCAACTCCCAGACAATTTGCTCTTTCAGCTCCCTCTTTCTCTCTCCTCAGATCCAGGCATCACTGAGTCTAACCCATACACTGAAGGAAAAACAAAACAAACCACTCAGCAGAAACCACTTTTCGCTCTGTGGGAACCTCACCAACATCCCTCTTTGTGTTGTTTTGACTATTTGTTTAATTTGATTTGGTTTTTGAAACAGAACCCCATGGACTCAGGCTGGCCTCAAACACAATATGTAGCTAAGGATGACCTCTTGATCCTCCACCTTGAAAGTACTCGGGTCCCAGGCAGGTGCCTCCAAGCCATTCTTGATTTTCTCTTCTCTGTGTGTATGTGTGCTTTGTATGCATGCGCGCATACACACACACACACACACACACACACACACACACACACACACACGCATGTGAAGGCCACAGGCTGATGTCAGAGTCTTCATCAAGCCTGCTCCACCATATATATGTTTTTTTTTTTTCTTTTTGGGGGGTTTTTCAAGACAGGGTTTCTCTGTGTAGCTTTTCGCCTTTCCTGGATCTCACTCTGTAGACCAGGCTGGCCTCGAACTCACAGAGATCCGCTTGCCTCTGCCTCTTGAGTGCTGGGATTAAAGGTGTGCGCGCCGCCGCCGCCGCCGCCGCCGCCGCCACCACCACCGCCCGACCCCACCTTATATTTTTTTTCTTTTCTTATCT